TAGTGAAATATTGGACTGTGAGGATGTAATAGCTATGGCTTCAAGTTGCTATTTGCTTTGAAAACAGCCTAAGGCAGGGTTATTGTTCTAATTTTTAGCACAGACCTGCATTTTAGGGGTCCAGAACATTCTTGCAGTTGTAGATCTTCTACCTTGTTAGACCAAGAAGTGGTATTTGTAAAAAAAAAAAAACCTGAGTGAGCAACTTTCCACGGGTGATTGATCATTACTACACCCCTAACAGGTCACCTTAACCCTATTTGGCTAGTACCTGGCACTACTTTTCTAAGGCTCCTTCAGACAATGTCCTGGCTGCGAGACAGGGAGTGGTTGAAGTCCTGGACTATGTTGGGGTCACCCAAACTAAATACTATTCAGTGAGCAGATCAGCGAATCCATTTTGACAATGGTGTGACTCATATGAACAAATTTCTGTTGGGGGCATACAAGGGAGAAAAGTGTTTTTAAAAGAACAATGTTTCGTCTTAGGGTGAAGTGGTGAATGAAAGTGGAATTGTGTTAGCGTATCTGGGCTCCTCTGCTTTTTCCCCCATTCCAGTTTGAGAAACTTTTATAACATTCACAAATTAGTTCTCAAGCCATATGTTTAGGATGCCGTGTTTATTTTATGTTTTCTGAATCTATTTGTTGCTATTGAGGGGTCACTCAGATTTCCGCAGCCCACCGATGGTCAACCTATAGTTCTCTTAGAAGAAAAAAAAAAAAAAAAGAGCCAAGCCTCAGGGTCATCATAGAAAAACGTCAGGACAGACCTTGTCTTCACTGAATCTCAGAAATAAGAAATGGAAAAAAAGAAAGACCCACGAATTCAAAAGAATGGAAAAGTAAACTACACACAGTTCAGGGACAGGACACACACTTGAAGCTGCTGGTAGTGGTTCTAATCTCACATCTTGGCTGTGAACCGAGAAGGTGAATGAAGGAGGGAGGACAAAATAGCTAGGAACTGTCAGCCCTGTGCTCCAAGACCAGTTGCCAGGCTGGGAGCCCTCAGGCACAAGAATGTTCTGTTCTCACACAATTTTCCCTGTGTGTTTTCACGGATGGGAGGAACAGATTTACCTAGCAGAGTTTCATTCATGAGACACTGCAGGCAGGTTTTATTGCTGATGATATCAGTTTTTGTTCTGCTCCCCCTATTATCTAATCTGTTTGATTCTTTCACCAAAGGCTACCTCTATTTCCCTCACTTACAAGACAGCCATTTTATTTGTTAGGAAGAGCTAGAAATTATGAGTCAAAACGCTTTCTTGCCTACAGCTGCTGATTTCATGCAGCTACTGAAAACACAAAGCCTCTGATAATAATAATAAGTGGCATCTTCTGCCCTGGGGTTGCCAACTTCTTTACCAATTTGTTCTGGGCCGTGAATATCAGTATGAACTGCAAACGTAAGAAGATGATCACTTCTGTCTATCAAAAACTTCACCAGTGAATTAACAGAGATTCTGTTAAAAAAAAAAAAAAAAAGAGCTAGGAATATGTCACCTTATGGTGACATATTTCCCCCCCAGTCTTTTTTATTTGAACTAGAGAAGGAAGAAATTTTCAGGTGAAAGAAAACTCAATAATAATGTTATTCTTAAATAAAATTCAGTGCATTTATTGATGCAGTTCTATGGAGTTCGACAGCTTGAACCGTGGCATGGCATCAATTAGATACCCTTGCCTCAGTTCCAATAGCTAGGCATTATGAGACGTCATCAACTGCATGGGAACAGCTGGCTGGTCCTTTGTGGCCTTCTAGGTGGATTAGTCCCCATAGCAATCAGAGAGGCCAGATAGGTAACCTGGTGTGTGTGTGTGTGTGTGTGTGTGTGTGTGTGTGTGTGTGTGTGTG